GCTGGAAAAGTGGGGGGCGTCTTGTACATGGGGGCGTCTTATTGTCGGAAAAATACGGTATTTGTATTATGACTTTTAAACTTGTTGTATTTTTTGTTGTGATCATAAACCTTAAATCATTCAATGATTTGTAAAGGAAATAAATAAGCGAACAAATAATTTAATAAAAAACTTTGAGATGTCTCTCAGAGACACTTTCCAATTTCTCAAGAATGCATACAGCCCTGAGACCTCAGGATATGCAATTCTGATGATCCTCCTATGCATACATTCCTTAAAATCTTGTGTAATTATCAGCATGTTATTTCATAGTCATCATTTCACATAACATTGATAAACCCAAAGCTTCTTATTAAATTAAGGATTTTTTTTATAGTAGGTGTTCCTGGGATATGTCTCAGTTTTTAAAAATCATAACGGTACTTGTTCACTGGGGCTAGTTTCCATTATGGGATAGCCATAATCACTGTTCTTCAGTTGACAGGGTTGTCTTCATATCTCTGACAGGAGAATTATTTTAAGCCCTATCATTCCTTCCACCATAATACATCTCCCACAAATACACATAGGAAAAATATAGTTAGCGTAAGCTAAGAGGGACATGGAAAGTGCCCAGTATTGCTTGGAGAAAATAAGCTGGATATTTTTTACCACAAACAATTAGCAGTGAGAAAATAGAAGACTTTTAAATCCTTGGAAAAGTATTGAGACCTGAAAACAAAAAGATTTCATGATAAAGATAATGTTTTTATCCAGAATTCACCTAAGGCTTCAGAAAATGTTTTACTGAGAGGTGAAAACAGCTATGAAACCGGTTTAGTGATCCCAGAAGTTCCCTAGATTACATTATATAAAGAATTAATATAAAATTCTATCTGAATTGAGAATGCATTGAATGTACTAAGCAATATTTAAACATTTAGTACCATGGATAGTGAAGAACTGCCATTAGGATGTGCATGTTGTAAAAGTAGCCAGGTGGCATTGGAGATATAGGGCACATCAGTGGTGGGTGTATTTCCTGATAGTACAGACTATGATGAGATCAAATAGTTTATCTTCTGAAATAGTTTGATAAGCAGTTATAATGAGAGAGATACTTTTTTCAAGGCAAGGTAATCAATGTATGTCAACTGAGTAGGAGCGTCTCCTCTAAACTTCAACTGAGGGACAGTACACATAATATTGATGGAAAGATGGAATGAGGGTCTCCAATAAAGCTCTTTTCCTAATACAAAACAAGCCACGCTATCAATAGCATTGGAACTCTAACAGGAAGATGATGCAAAACAGAAGGAGAAGAGGAAAGAGAGGAAAGGAGACAGGTATGTAGTAAGATGTAGAAGACCCAAAAACATGGAAGCACAGCAGAAAGCACACATTCATTCTCAAATGCAAGCATCATGAAAACATCCACCTCTGACATTTTAACACATTTTCCAAATGGTACCTGCAGGTTAAAAATGTCAAAAATCACTGGAATATTGATAGAACTAGCACTTCCATAGCACCATTTCTGTATCATATAGTAACATGTCTCTCTAAACAACTGTTTAATCCTTTCTCCACAGTTGTGGGCTAAAGCTTTTCTCTCTCTCTTTTGTTTTTCCAAAGCTGAAGGCTTGATTGTTGTTGTGGTGTTTTTTTTAATTGCAGATTTTAATTTGTCTAATATTAAATGTTCTTATGTACCCTTGTTCTGACTGTATCACTCAGAATTCTTATAAATGAGGGGGTTGGTGAATTGGGGGAGGAGTGTTTCTCTCATTTCATTAATTCCAGGCTTGATGAACAAAAATACTTCTTTAGTTTCACCATCATTGGCACATAGGGTTACCCATTTATTTTAATGCACCTGTACTTCTCAAAGAGAAGATCTTTAAGGGTAAATAATTTTTACTAATGTTCAAAACTTTTCTCACTACAA